AGTTTGTGAAATTTTTGACCTGCTAGATCTGCCCTGGACAACTGTAAGTGCTATAATTGTGAAATGGAAGCATCTAGGAACAACAACAGCTTAGCCACAAAGTGTTAGACCACACAAGCTCACAGAGTGGGGCTGGTGAGTGCTGAAGCTGAACTGTGCTGAACAGTGCCTATCCTCTGTTGAATCACTCATTATAGAGTTCCAAACTGCCTCTGGAAGCAACATCAATAAAAGAACTGTGCCTTAGGAGCTTCACAAAAAGGGTTTCCATGGCCACGCAGCTACACACAAGCCTAAGACCAAAATGCACAATGCCGAGCGCTGGGGGGGTGGGTATAAACTGCGCCGCCACTGAACTCTGGAGCAGTGAAACTGCACTGTGGAGTGACAAATCATGCTTCTCCATCTGGCCGTCTGATGGATGAGTCCGTGTTTGGCAAATGCCAGGAAACGTTACCTGTCTGACCGCACTGTGTAGTAAGTTTGGTGGAGCAGGGATAATGCTATGGCATTGTTTCTCTGAGGTTGGCCTAGGCCCACATTTTGAACAACTGTATGCTTCAAACTTTGAGGGAACAGTTTGGGGAAGGCCTTTTTCTGTTCCAGCATGACTGGCCCAGTACACAAAGCAAGGTGCATAAAGGCATGTTTGAGTGAGTTTGGTGTGGAAGAACTTGACTGGCCCACACAGAGCCCTGACCTCAACACCCTCAAACACCTTTAGGATTAACTAGAACAGAGACTGCAAGCCAGGCCCTCTCGTCCAACATCAGTGTCTGACCTCAAAAATGCTCTTCTGGATGAATGTTCATAAATTCCCACAGACACACTCCAAAATCCCGTAGAAAGCTTTCCCAGAAGAGTGGAAGATGTTAGAGCCGCAAAAGGGGGACCAACTCAATATAAATGCCTACACTGTAAAAAGTGGCTCGTCAGATCTACTTAAAAAAATTACTTAATGTGGTAACAAGCAACTGAACTAGTTTTATTCAACTTAAAAAACTACATTGATTGAAAGAATCGTTCATCAAAAGTATTTATTTAGGTTGAATAAAACTAGTTAATTTAGTTGTTACCACATGAAGTAATTTTTTTAAGTAGAGGCCATTAAATCTATACCAGTATGAAAGTGAACATGAGCCGTGCTTTTAACTGTTACCCGGTGCCAGACACCCACTAGTGATGAGTTGCAGACCTTCTCATCCAGTATGAAGTGCCCATAGCAGTTTTTCCAGGGGCGTTGCTAGGCTTATGGGGGGACTTTAGTTTGAATCATCAACATTTTTGTCATTTTTTCTTAATTATTTAACTGTGCAAACATGTCTACAAATTTACTATAAACTGTGATTGCAGGGCACAAACAGGAGGGGGCTGTTTTTACTCAACAAGAAGCAAGTGCAGGCAGAGTGTTTGCTTTTTTTCCTCCTTTAACGTAAAGAGCAATCCATAAACTGGATGAATCAAAAATATTCCCAATTAAAAACAGGGCAAGGTAGAAAAAAAATCAGGAACCACAAAAATAAATAGCAGAAAAAAGTCCAGGAACTCAAACATAGGCTTAGCTGCGTGACGTCCTTAAAGTAACAAAAGACTGTGACAACAGCCCAGGCAACAGAAGAGCATGGAGAATATAGACACGTTTCCCCTTTGCTCTAGAAAATGTGGCTTGAATGTGTTTATATTTCACACAGTTTTATTCCTAATGAACTTTCATCACAAGTTCAGTAACCACTAATCAGTAACTCAAAGACAAGTGTTAGGAAATCAAAGCCTGCTCTTGGAGGAACAATCTGTGGATCAGGGGGATCTCAGAGGGATCCGAAACACCACATGTAATAGAGTTTTTGGCCCTGCAGCTTCAGGACCTGCTTAAACTAGATGAAAAGCCACTGCTTGATTTGGGCCCACAGAGAACGCTGTGATAAGCAGGGAGACGTACTACAGCCTTTCTTTCTTCTTACTTTTGCTCGGAATAAGATTTTACAGCTTGCTGGGAAAGCCTTGCCACTTTTTACAGGGACAAAAAAGTTTTCATTTTTGCTACACTTTTTCTGCTGCAGCGAAGAGAGCTGCCTTTGGTGAAGTTAAATGCCAGCTGCACTCCTGTGCTGATGTGAAGTTTGGACTTTTGAATCCTGCAACACTGAAAAACACCCAACTCTCACACTTTTGAGGACCCAAATGAAAGCTACTGACTTTGTTAGCGAACATTCCATAGTAGCTACTTCTGCAAATAATGTAGGGTGAGTTACTTTAGTGAGGCTATGCTGTTGTTTGGTGCTAGCTCCCGGGCCTGTAGCTAGATCGTTAACGTTAATGTTTATCTTTCTGGTCAGTAGAGGTCTGCACTACCGCAGACTCCCACATGACCGGCGGGACCTGACACAATATCTTGTGCCGTAGGACTAATTTTCAGTGTTGTGTGCAGGAGCAGGTGGAAATCAGACCTATTCAGGTGGGAGTGGGCGGAAGTATGCATGTAGGAATCCCGCAAATTAACGAAGAGCCTAAATAAAGTACGATCAATTAAACATGAACAATATTACAGTAAAACGGTTAAAATGAATAAAATCATCCTTGAGCAGCCAATCACGTGAACAATATGCAAATTCTCATAGGTCTGATTTACACATACTGCTTCTGGGCAGCGTGAGCGACATAGAAAGCCTTGTTTATCACTTCGTCACCCATGTTAAGTGGTCAGTGCTTTCAAACAGGCGGGTCTCAGACGCCACACTGAAGCCCGCTGGGTGTTTAGAGAATAGACCCAGGACAGATTTTTTCTGCACGCGTCACGCAGCTTGAAAATTTGTCAGAATGCTGTCCAGGATAAACAAATATACCGTGCAGTTCTATAAATTATATTTTATGGAGCAGAGTGACTGACATGACCTTTTATTTGTCTGAAAACAGGAATGTCTGTGTAACTGTCTCTGCCAACACAGAGGCAGCATGTGTGAATCATGAGTTAAAGAGATGGTGGAGCCTTCAGTCAGATGGCTACAGCTGCCCAGCAAAACACCAAAAATAACCGCTCTATGGTTTAATTCCTGCTCTGTGTTTAAATGGTGAATAAATGACGTTTGGTGAAGTTACACTCAGTGAGCATGGTGATCATGACTGCCATGTTATTTCAGCAGAGGATAATGTATTTGTTATTAGACTGAGTCAGATATTGGATGTACGCAGGACTGCGAGGACAAATCGTTACATTTGCAGGTGGAAGCGGGAGAAATGATGACGATTTTCTGTGGGAGCGGGCTGAAATGTCGCAGGAGCGGGACTGAAAAACAGTCCCACGAAGACCTCTACTGGTCAGTTGTGAGTCCTTGTCTTTACATTGGAATGTTGTACTTATATGGTTATCTTCTGATACTCCATTGCCATAATTCTTCTAATATAACATTTCTGAATTTACAGGAAACTGTTATGGAGTTGTTTGTTCTGGGTTTAGTAAATTTTAGGTTAGTCTCTGTAAATCTCAAGCTTTGTATAGTTTGGATAGGACATTTATATTAATATTTAACTATTATTTCTATTAGCCCACTATTATTCAGCCTTTATACACCAATCAGGCATAACATTATGACCACCCAAATAGTACCTGCTCTGTGAGGGTCCATGGGGGTCCTGACCACTGAAGAACAGGGTAAGAGGGGGCTAACAAAGTACGCAGAGAAACAGATGGACTACAGTCTGTAATTGTAGAACTACAAAGTGCACCTATATAGTAAGTGGAGCTGATAAAATGGACATAAACGGTCATAATGTTATGCCTAATCGGTGTATATCCTAGTATTATTGCACTATTCATATATGTACAGTCTATTACTGCACTATTCATATTTGCACCAATAAACAATGTACCACATTACTCTGCATACTTATCTTTTACATATGCTGCTCTCACAGGACACAGGACTACCTCATTGTATGCTCTCCACTCACTCTGTATATATGTGTATTATATTTATATTAGCATATCTATATATTTTTATCACTATACCATCCTTCTGCACTTTATATGTAAATAATACTGTATTTTGCACCTCTGGTTAAGTCTGTTATGTACGGCCATGATGGGTATCATCACATGCTCAACCTGTTGAGTCATGTGACATATGAAAAAATAAAAACAGAGTTCTATAAGGAATTTAACTCTACAAGTGCAGGTATACATTTTTTTCTTCACAACAAAGTCATTAAATTTCCGCAGGTGATTTAACATTACACATTAAGACACTTAAAATGCCAAAATCAGACTTAATTCAGAGTGGTGACTCACAAAGAACATACAAAGCCTGAAGCCTTCCCTGAAGAAGAAAAGAAAGAGGCCTACTTAAGGTGGAGTCGGTAACTTTTCTAATATTTAGTAAAATTCTTGTCACATAATATGTATTCTCAGAGAAAAAAAATCAGTCTATGTAATCCATCTGAACAAGTGCTGTTAGTTGCTTTTCAAATCATGTTGCTTGTTTATTTCTAAAATACATGGATTTTTCTCATTTTAAGCACTTCAAACTTGTATGTGAATATGCTGCACTACCAAATGATTCATGCACAAAGGTTAACTCCCCCCACCATCCAGGTATAGCACATACACAGTAAACACTACAAATCCCTGATGTCAACAATTACGTATTAAAATCAGACTGGTCAGACACTGTGTATAAACACATATACATATATATATATGTGTGTACATATATCTGCCCAGAGTCTATTATTTGGCTCCATCATTTCCACAGGTAAATATATGACTTCTGATGGACTTTTTAACATTCTTTATCATTGCTGTCACAACACAAATGTAGTTATATGCTTGTGATAACATGATATGTATTTTTTTTTAATAATACTACATCATTAATTACACAACTCTAGTCTTGTATGCTTACAATTATTGGCAGCTTATCTTTAGCAAGTTTTTTTTTTTTACTTTTGTTCTTAATGTCTGTTAAATTGTCACACTGATGTTTTGAAACTTTTTTCTCCTAGATATGTGCACAGCAGATTGTACTAACACTCAGAATGAAAGCAGCAGCCTTCACCAGTTGCAGCTGGTCAGTTCTATCTCACTAAGGAAGGACTTATCATTGGCCATAACCCAGATTTTTGTGTGGCCTTTTGTCTATCTCAGCGTCCTTATGCTTTTCACCTTCTACAGAAAACAGGCTTTCAGAACTGAAACACGTTACATATTGTTTGCCAACACCTTACTGACTGATGTGATTTTTCTTATACTGACAGACTTTGTGGTCATTCTCTCATACAGCTCTGTGTTGATGCCTATGGCATTCTGTATTCCACTTTGCATACTCATGGAGACAGTCTCAACATGCACACCGCTGACCATCACTGCAATGTGTGTGGAGCGCTATGTGGCCATCTGCATGCCACTGAGACATAGTGCTATCTCCACCACTAGCAGAACTCTTACTGCTATCCTTATCATCTGGATCATAAGCTACATTAAGTCATTTATGGATGTGTTTATCCTTGTTGCAACTGTTTCACAAGAATATTTTTTTGAGCCTACCTTCTGTTATTACGAGATCATGACACCAGAGCAATGGCACCGCACAGTGAGGGAAATAATGAATATTAGTTATTTTATCATAATTTTACTCACCGAGTTCTTTTGCTATTTGATGATTGTGCTTGCTGTCCGGACAGCCACTGTTGACAAGAAATCAGCAGGCAAAGGTCTGCGTACCATCTCACTACATATGTTTCAGCTTATCCTGTGTACTCTTGAGATTATTTATTCCCATATTGAAGCAGTAATTATAGAGCTAGATATACTCTTATATCTGTCAATCCGCTCTTTCAACTTTATTACATTCAGTGTCATCGCCAGGGCAGTCAGTCCGCTTGTCTACGGCCTAAGAGATGAAAAATTTTATGCTGCCCTGCTATACTACATCAAATGTAGACAAAATCATATCTCATCTGAAAACAGAGGACCAATCACATAAGTTTCCAGTATAAACAATGTTACTACTTTGAGACAGTAAGACTTCTTAAATGCCTTGTAAATGGCTGTTTAGCTATTTAATTTGTTTATACTTATAGTTGTATTTCTTTTTTGTGTCATTGAGTAATACGGAAAATTGAACTGAATCTTTGGAGTGGCTTCCTGTAAGTTACTGATCAATGCTTAATTAACAAGCCATTCTTTTAAAAGATATTTATCATAAATTTGTTTGCCACTGAACATATGTTTCTGTCACTGTCCTATCAGATATAACACGGCACACATTATTTGTATGCTATCTTACAATGACAACATATGAAGAAAGTACTAGTAATGTCCACATTTATTCTTTTAAAAAGATTAAGTGCATGGACAGTTATTTACAGAATGTTTCTTTTTTAATTTTAAATATAAAAGCTTATGTAATGTAATGACTAACAGTGTGTGGGTTCCTAAGACAGAAAAGCCTTGTATTAGTATCTGTTATTAATCTTCGGCCTGTGAAATAAAGATACTGTTTTTCGATAATGCTTCTTATAAATTCTGCATACTTAAATGCATAAATTTATGTAGTTACATGACTTACATTATAATGGACAAACATTATAAAGGCTTAAAAACTTGGTATGTTATTGTAAAGGGGTCTTAAAACTTATTAAACTGACAGTGATGATAGAGATTATGATGATAATGACAGGTATTTTGATTATGTAAACTAATGCCCCCTGGCCTAGCAATGCTCCTGGAAAAACTAGGATTTAACATCCACATCGGTGACAAAGTAAAACCTGAATGAATGAGTGGAGAGACACAGCAAGTGCAGATGCTCTGTGGCATGGACAAAAATTCTACGCAGGCCCAGCTGACCTTTTTGAACTTTTAGATCAAAATGGCTAAAGAAGACAAGTTCCCAAACATCCTCATATTTAACTGTTTATTTTATGATTCAAGAAACTCTGAAATATATATTACGTTTCTTGACATTCTGCAGTGACAGGATTGCAATAAACAAGTTATACTTATTGGCTGCATGGTACAAGGTCAGCATAGCTCATGTCAAATTAAGAAGCCAGCCCCCTGTCCTAGAGGACGTCCACGTAAATCCTTCTCAAGTTCCTGTCCAGTCAGCTCCAGTGTCTGTTCAAGTAGCCCTTCTTCCGTCCGGCACCAGGACATCTCCAGGGAATTACCTCCAGTCACACCGCATAGCTTTGCACAACTCCATTAAGAGAAAAGATGGTATGGATGTAAAACCTTGATGCTCTGATAATGTGAAAGCCCCTTTAATCTTTGTTTCAATTAGCTGGCCACACAATTACATTGTGACTTCCCCTATGGAGTTCTATTTGTGACAAACGTTTCAAATAAAACAATAAAAGTTTAGCCTCAAGCTACAATCACTGCATTCATTAATGCACTATTCAATAAAAGGTTTTCATTTGAGCATTACAATCAATCTACAGTATGTCAATGCAGCATTAAATAAAGGCAGGTATAATTCGTACTATATTCTCAATGTAAGACAACAGCATCAAAATTAGGCCAGGGATTTCAGTCAAATTGTATTAGTGATTTTTTAAGGCATTCATTAAAAGATATTTGAATAATTGGTCTGGGCCACATCAGGACAAATGTCAACCCGTTGAGCATCAGTGGCTGTCTATTGCACATAGTCTGTATGGTGTGTATGGCACCAGTGACTAAAGTTAGTCTTCATGAGTCAGTCTTTTTTGGCCGATTGAGTGTGTTGACTTGGCGCCGGCCGTAAGACAAAGCGAATGAGGAGAATTCAAAAGAAAAAAAGAGCAATGCAAATGCGAAGAAAATGGCACTTTTAAGAGGTCACATGGAGAATAACCTCATTTTTCAACACCAGTGTGAGTAACTAAGTTTAAAGAATATGTGACTGTCTCATTCCCGATGATAAAAAAAATTAATACTGTTATGAATACTCACTAATTTCATGGACTTTCATATAATTATGAACATGTGACTGCACGTTTATATCCACTGCTTAATGTACATTCACTTTTAATTAGCCTTTTTACCCACTTAGCACTTATAATGATGGTTTATTTTTACTTTTGCTTAAACACAGTGTTTAGCTTAAACATGGACATTTGAAAGGGCTGCTCACCTATACGTATTAAGCATGTGTGTGTCGACTGTGTGTGTAGACTTCACAGTGTGTTTGAGTGCAAATTTTCACAAGAGACAAGAGGTGACAGTGAGCTGACAGAAGATGACCATAAGTCAGACATACACTATATGAGCAAAAGTACTGGAATACCCTGCTAATTATTGAGTTCGGGTGTTTCTGCCAAACTCATTGCTAACAGGTGGATGAATTTAAGCACGCAGTCTTGATAGACAAGCACTGACAGTAGAATGGATCATACTGATGAGCTCAGTGGCTTTAAACATGGCACTGTCACAGGATGCTACACCTGCCACAAGTCAGTTTTTGAAATTTTTGACCTGCTAGATCTGCCCTAGACAACTGTAAGTGCTATAATTGTGAAAAGGAAGCATCTAGGAGCAACAACAGCTTAGCCACAAAGCAGCAGACCACGCAAACTCACAGAATGGGGCTGGTGAGTGCTAAAGCGCACAGTGCCTATCCTCTGTTGAATCACTCATTATAAAGTTCCAAATTGCCTCTGGAAGCAACATTAATAAAAGAACTGTGCATTAGGAGCTTCACAAAAAGGGGTTTCCATGGCCGGTGATGGTGAAGCCACTGTGTCAAGCTACTGAACCTGCTAAATAAAAAAAAAAGACAAAGAAAGGAAGAAAACCTGCTTAGTCATTGAGCGAAATCTGGTCAAAGAACTCCATGTAGATAGATCAATTCCATTTCATGTGGGGAAACTGTACAGACCCAAGAAAATAACTTGACAGTGAATAACCGGTGAAACCAGGTTGGAACAAAAAAGGAGTGGTAAATCAAAATTCTGGAAAAAGTGTTTACCTCATCATCCGCAAACATCTCATAGGTGAAATCTAGTCATGGCTGAGCAAGCTACTGGGAAGTCAGTCGAACAGTTCAAGGTGGAAAGAACAACAGCAAAAAGATTATTCTCTCATCTAGCTGGCAGTATTACTAGGACCTATAAAGACATAACTGAAGAAGAACTAAGAGATAGTTTCAATAAGCTCACATTAGAAACAGAGAGAGTCATGGAAACAAATGATTATGTGGAAGCTGGACTCATTGCTGAATTGGAGGCAGAGCTGAGCACAGACCAAATGGCTGTGTTAACAGAACAGCAAAAAGCTGACCTAGCAAAAACTGTGAGTCGAAAATAAAGGAAGTCAAAAATTTAATCCAGGGTGTGGGCGTGTCACTGTGGTAGGACCCAGTAGCAACCAGGAGGCCTATGACTTTGTGCTCAACCATCTGCAAGGACTGGCAAAGACGGTAAAAGAGGTGCACGGCAGGTGGAAACTATGGATCCCCCCAGAAGATCAGAAAGACATTCAGAGTTGATTAAAAGAGCTCGAACTCTACATCCCCATGTTAGTTTCCAGAAATGCAGAAAATGCCAGCTCTGAGAAGTCATTAGCCATGGAAAACAGTAGAATTAATTTAAGCTGTGGAGAAAGCGCTTCAAGACCTAAGTGACCTTGAAGACATAGGAGCTATCAAAAATCCATTGGTAACAAAATCAATCAAAAATAAGCTTCCAGAACCTCTTAAGAAAGAATGGCTTGTTCATGTCACAGATAAGAGAAATTCTGTGGTACCAGATAACTGATTTGACAGTCTCTTGGCGTTCTTTAAAGAGCAAGAAAATATTTATGAGCAGCTTGAGCAACTGACAGATGAAGAACAAAGTGGAAATGAGAGTGGGGCTGAGCAAAGACATGCCAGAACTAGATCTACCAAGTCTGGCGATGACTCTGCAGAGTGTGTAGTTTGCGGTGTCAGTAGACACAAGAAAAAGCTCTTCTTTTGCAAACAGTTCAGAACGTTAAGGCTCACAGAGAAAAGGGCTGCAGTGAGAAAGTTGGGCGCATGTAAAAGGTGCCTTGAAGTTCACGATGGCACTTCACATTGCAAACCAGTTTATCTGTGCAAAAACCAAGACTGCAATAACGAGCATACTAATGAGCATCATTACTATCTGTGCCCCAACGCGGAGTCAAAGAAGGGCAGGAGCAGCGAACGTCCAAAAAAAGAACAGGCTTAATCCAGAAGAAAATAAAGACAGAAAGAAATATACACAAGAGCAAGAGTTCTTTAATAAACTCTCACCAGCTCTGACAGATCAATGTCGAGATGTGTTCTCGAACGCAGCATCAGTGGCCTTCAACACTGCAAAAGACCAGCTGAAACTTCTCAGAAAAAGTGGATTTCAACAACCGCCAGTGATCATGATGCTTCTTGAGGTCACAGCCAATGCTGGACAGAAGATTGGAGCATTAATTGACTTGGCTTCAGATACTAATTATATAACCCACAAGGCTGCAAACAAATTGAACCTCAGAAGTGAAAAAAATCACTCTTGTTGTCCATGGGGTTGGAGGTATGAAAGTCCATGTAAAAACAAGGCGATACCTTCTAAAAATCAGAGTGAAGACTCCTGATGGCGCTCTTAAAGCATATCAGTTGATTTGCTATGGACTGGACAGCATTGCAGATGTCCACAGGACGGTGACACCAAAGCAATTGCAGAAATTCTTCCTGGATATACCGCTTAATGAACTTGCAACACCTAAAAAAATAAGTCACAGAGTTCATAAGTCACAGGGAAGGCCAGCTCGCACCTCAGAGGATCAGAGTTGTTAGCGACGTCGTGCTGTGGTGGGAGGAGTTCACTGGCAGGGTCCCAGGGCGACTTCCATTAGACAAAGAGGTTTATTTCAAGTACCAAGAGTCGATTACTTCAGCCACCAACCGGGACGTCCTAGAGTGGCGTAGATGGGATAGCATCGGCACAGCATGTGAACCTAAATGTGGAGGGTGTCGCTGTGGGGGCTGTTAGCCGGGCGGCAAAGAAATGAGTCTTGCTGAAGAGAACTCGAAGTAATATGAAATGGCCTCACCTATGTCACAGGCGACATCTACAGCGAAGGACCACACTGGCATGCTAAATACCCCTGGTTGGAAGATCCAGCTTCGTTGCCAGACAACAAAAAGGCAGTCAAGGCTACGTTTCTCACAACAGAGAAGCAGTTGGCTAAAGAGCCTGAATGGAAAATCGCCTATGGTGCCCAAGTGCACAACATGGTCAATCGAAGGGCTGCAATCAAATCGTCC